CTGCCTTTAGCACATATAAAAAGGTCTGGCAGTTAGCTTTTATGCGATGCATACAAAGAGTGGCTCAAAACTTCTCGGCAAAATGCTGTGTTCCCGGAAGTGAGGAAAACACCTCCTACCCATCTCTTCTAACCCCAGTCTGCATTATTCACACTGTAAACAAACCCCCCTTTCTTTGGGTAAATGGTAGTCCGGCGCCTGTTAGAATCCTCGGGCATCACAAGTTGATGGGATCCACGTAAGGCCCTATGAGGTCCGTGTATGACCATTTAACACTTTCCCTGGACAAAGGAAATCCTTGTTCTGGGCCTCTTTAGAGGCACAAAACAGATTTCTGAAATAGCAGAGCCCTCTTTCCATTCATGAACACACTGAGTGGAAACACGTGGGACCCACCTTGGGCTGGGCTTGGCGTCCTGCTAGAGCATAAGTGTATCTTGAGAAGAGAGCTCAGAGAACACGGGCAGCTGCATGATGTGGGGAAAGGAATGATCGTGACCTGGGCGGGGGGGGGGGGGGGGGGGGGGTTCTAGCCTCCAGCCGACTCTGGGTTCTCTTGAGCCAGCCACTGGTCTTGCCGCATCTCAGCCCTGAGATGCCCCTAGGAAATCTTCCGGCTTATAAATCAGGCTCTGTCAGATTTCCTGACAATCCTTGCAATGTTAAGTCTGCACAGGGGAAGATCTTTCCATTGTCCACATTCAACTAGTAGTTTCGCGTGCAGCCTTGGAGGTGCAGAGAAAGACTTTGGGGCAGGGGGCATTTCTTCCATATTGGAAGAACTATTGTGGTCCTGAAGAACCCCAAGAGTGAAGCCCTAGTAAGAGACTAGGAGATTCTAGCTTTACTCCACGGTGGACCACAACAAACCCTACTTATCAATTGAGTTCATCTTGGAGGATAAAGAAGGGGAAGAAAGAACAAAATTGCCCCTAATGTTCCCCTCCTCCGCCCATGTACTGGTATGTCACACAGATTGTTATCAGTCCCAATGACCAACCTATGAAGGAATACTCATTCTTCTATAGACCAGGAAACTGAGATTAAGTGACTCTCCCAAGGCCATTTATTTATTCAGTGCATATTACTACATACCAGGAACTGTTGGGTGACAAAGAGATAATAGCAGCCAAGACAAGCACTACCCCGGTGGAGCTCGCGTTCACTTTAATATTTTCGAGCACTTTCTCGAGCATGACTCACAGTAGTATATACAGATTAAGCTATCACGCAATGCATATATCATAAGCACACACAAAACAAAGTTTTTACGCACATACCCAAGAACTTATCCTTACTGTGTGCAATGCATTCTCTTAGCTTTTCTACACTTTTTCTCCCTGTTTAAAGCCCGTTGGGTAACAACCAATTACACTGATTTCATGATCCACTAATGAATCACAATCCAGGGTGAAAACATGGTTCTAGTTGGCTTGAATGGAATGGACTAATATTGATATCAATCAATATTTCCTCAAAGCCTGGGGAGTTATCGACATCCTTTTCAATGTATGGTTTAATGGCAAGAAGGAGGAGAAGTGAAAGGAAGCTGTTCCCCTTTTCACAGCCTGGAATGATCTGTCAGAGGTCACCTAACTCTGGTTTGGGTCTCCCCCGTGTTCAAATTCCATTTCTCCTTTATAGCATGTCTGCTGGCTGCCCTCACCCCCCAGCCCCCGCAATAATAGCGAGCTTTACCTTCTTCCTCTAACCTCTTGTTTTCCCCACATAGGCTGACCACAGAGTATCCAGATCACTACGGCGAGGAAATGGACATGGTCTCCTACAGCTATGATTACTACATGCGAGGAGCAACGACCACTTTCTCTGCTGTGGAAAGGTGAGCCTTCCCCGTGGGCGAGGGCTGAGGGGAGCCAGGGACTCGCTCCCTGCCGGGGTTTTGGCGTTGTCGCCCTCACTTCATCTCCCTGTGACAGCGGTTCCTGAAGGAGCCCACCTACCACGGGCTAACTATTCAGTGAAAGAAAGAATAAATGAGCAAACGGATCACCCAGTTACAAGCAGACCCTTTACAATGAAATGGGGACAACGTGAAATCAGTGCTTGAGTTCCAAGCATACCTGTCCTGGAGGCACCTTTGGGACAGAGCAGTGGGGAGCGACCACTAGAGTTGAACAAGACCTCCAAACAGCCGGTAACCTAGTCACCTGCGAGGTGCAACCTGAACAGGGTGAGGAGGTGTCCAGGTCTCCTGACCTCACAGGAATGTTCTAGAGACTTCATAGAGATGTCGTTTGAGGGCAAAGTGAGACTAGGTGCCCCTTCACTTCCTAAGTTGTCCAAGGGTGATTCGTTGCTTTTCCGTCAACAGTGGTTCTTCCAACGGTGTCTTCTCTCACTGACCTTGGTTTTCTGACTCTCCCACAGGGATCGCCAGTGGAAGTTCATAATGTGCCGGATGACTGACTATGACTGTGAATTTGCAAATGTTTAGATTTCCCACATCAAGGTGGAGGGAAGGGGCCAGGAGACCCAAGGCTGTCCTCATGTTAATCTCAGTTGGATCCTAAGTGGTTTCTGCTGTTCTCTCTCCTCCTCCCTGAGCTGGTCAGTAACTGAGATGCCAGCTTCCTGGGCTTTTCTGAATGGTATCACACTTATAATAAAACCTACAGTGAATCCACATTCCCCGTTCTCAACCCGCTCCATAGCAACTGTGTTACATGGCTGACGACGGCTCTCCTGTACGTCACACATGCAGTGTGCACACTCACAGCCTGAAAACCAGCCGGTCCCTGGCACACCTGTCACAGCCTCGCTACTGCTTTTACTACCAAATGAACTGCGAGCAGACCTGGTGCTGAGCGGCACCTGTGAAGGGGTTCAGGGGCGCTGAGTGAAGAAGCAGAAACCGAGGGAGGTGGCAGCGAAGGTTCTTTGCAGCTGTGTGTGTTTGAGGGGGACCCGGGGCCCTCGCCAAAGGCAGACCTTCCCCTTGAGGGGACAGACTCCACTCTCCCCTCCACATTCGCCAGGCTTGTCTGGACGGTCAGGGCTCTGTGTTCCAGGAGTAAGGACACTGGGAAGTGAAATGGGAGATGGACAGGTGTGGGGACGGAGCTGAAAGACAGAATTGGGAGCGTTTCTTGTCGTAGTAGAAGGTTGTCAGCACGCCCAGTCATGCAAACAAGTCCAGTAACCTCGTGAGAATCAGTCTCAAGTAAGACAAAAACAGGAAGAGGGAGGTCAGAGAACTCCGGTCAGGAAGGTGGGGAAGGCGCAGGTTGCTTCGGGAAGTGGCAACGGGTCTGAGTAGCTGGCACCTGGAGACACGGCCAGGACTCCTGGGGAGGGAAAGGCTGGCACATGCCCTGTGGCCATGGGAGCTACTGGCAGCTCACCTGAAATGGTCCTGATGTTCTGGATGGGAAAGGCTGCCCTGGGGCCCCACTCCCCTCCTGTGTGTAGTTTAGGGGTGTCTTTGGCAGAGGCGGCACTATCTTTCCTCCTGCTGTGATGTCTCTGTCCCCAGCCCTTTGTACTCTCTTCACTATAAAAGGAATAAAAATATTAACACTCACTATGCCACAAAGGTTAAGGGTCAGTGTTTACTGTCTACCCCCAACCCGTCCCAATTTTTCATCCATCCTTTCAGAAAAGAGCTTAGACTGCGATTTGTGCCAAGCCCTGTGCAAGGCACCAGGAATACAATGACGACAGTGACAGAATACGGCTGGGGAATCCAGGCATTAAAACGGAAGAGCTAAGTGCTCTCATCAAGGATTGGACACAGAGCGGAACCACACTTCTCTGGCTTTGAAGCTAGCCTGATCTGTCCTCAGCGTCCTTCAGCCCGCCTCACATCAATATGTCGGACGCATTTTTAACCACAGGGAGCTCCTATTTCCTTTGTCTACATGGTTTGCGTTCTCATCTGAGATCTATGCTGCCCTCCCTTCCTCTCTCTGGGTGGACCCAGGAGAGCAGGCAGCCAAGCACAACCACAGGGGCCATCCACCGTGTTAGGCATCCCACCGAGGTGCCCAAGAAGGTGGGTCTTGGCTAGTGGAGCTGCGTTTCCTGGCAAGATCCCTGCATTGCCAAGGGGAAGGCAGAGCTAAGGATGCCCTCCTTTGCCTTAAGTGAAAGGCCCTTTTTCATACTACAGTTTTGCTGTATTTCCTCCATTTCATTGTTTCCACCTCTCTGGCAATTTTAATCTACAACAAGCTTCACTGTTCACAAAGGGAGTCATTAATATTTTAGCACCTGGAGCGCCGGTTCAGGATGGCCACCAGGAAATGGCCGCAGTTGGGTGTGTGGATCAGAGCTGGAAGGGAGACAAGGAGACAAGCAACATGATTGGCTGACTTGGCAGCCATGATGACAGCAAGAGGCTGGGGTGCCAGGGAGTGGGGGACTGGGGTGGAGAGGCACAGTCTGGGAGGCCGCTAGCAAGCCCAATGCAAGAGAAACACGATAAAGCAATCCAGTGAGTGCCAGCGCCAAATAGAATAAATGGAGAGACTTTCACTAAGAGAAAAACTATCCTGTGCATATAGGTCAAGGACAATAACAGTAAAGACGTTATCAACTTGGTTCGAACCGTAATGATTGGTACTTTCTGTCACATGTGAGAACTAAGTGTTGGACAAGGGCCAAATCCCACAGGATCAGACCACAAGCTGCCTCTCTGTCCCTGCTCTCTTATTACTGAAAACCTTCCACTAACTTGTTCCATGACCCTGGAAAAGCCACCTCCTCGTTTGATGAGGACATTTACCTAGGAATCATTGTGGTTTCTTGCAATTCCAAAATTCGGTGAGCTCTTATCATCTGCCCCAAATTGTGTAAAAAGAACTTTGCTGAGGCATTTTCTTCCAGAGAAACAGTCTGGGATGAGATTTGAAAGCGTAGGTCCCACACCTGGCTCTGACAGAGGGTGGCTGTTAATATCAGACACATCCCCAAGCCACCATTTCCTCGGCTGCCTGGTATGGACAGGAATCCCTCTCCCAGCACCTTCCAGGATGGCAGCCACATCACACAGGGCGAAGGGACATGATCGCGCCTCACAGGGCCCAGTGTCACAGGGGGAGAAGAGAAGACGGACAATGAAGACAAGTGCTGAGGAAGCCGCATCCACTCTTGGCTCTGAAGGACCAGCAGGACGTCTGCGGTGAGTGGGAAAGACTGTGGGCTCTGGATTCAGACCGTCTGGGAACAAATCCTGGCCCTGTCACTCACCAGCTTCATGACCTTGGCCAGGTTACCTACAGGACCCACATCACAGGGTTGTTGTAAGGATAAACTGAGATCTCAGAGTGTCTTGCACATAATAAATACCCAATACATGTAGTAAGAGGAATTGGAATATTATTAGTATATATTAGAAATAATGTTCCTCAGAGAAGCTAGATTTTATCATAAGTCCGTAATAAGGAAAGTTCATGAAAGGGGCGGGACTTAAGTTTGGTTCTCATTCATTCAGTCCATCACTGAATCAATAAATTAGGTGCTTACTACATACCAACCACAGCACTAGGCACACTTCCTGAATTCCAGGGGATTATAAACTAAGGGCGTCAGACAAGCAAACACACCAATATAATCCAGGTTGAAAAGTCAAAGGTAAGTAGCATTTCAATAGGGCAGTGTGGGCTTAGGGCGGGAACGGGGATAGTGGCGTGTCTGGCAACAGAAACAAGGTAATGAAAGGCATAAAAGGATGCGTGGGTTTAGGAAAGGTTCCCCAGGAAACACTGATGTCACCAAGGAGATCTGGGAGGACCAACACACAGTCACAGTGCCCTAAGGAGAGAGTGGCAGTTCACATCAGCACCCTAAAGCATACCGCTGTTTATGCATATTAATTGAAATGTATTGTACCTATCTGGACTCGGATATCAGCTGAGGATGAATTGGAGAGGGAATTCATCAGCCTCTCCCTGCCGACTCTCCCAGCTCTGCATCTTCCCGACACACGTTACCGTGGCCTGGGGAAGTCCTCTATCCATCCTGGCTCGTCCACACATAGTACCTTTATGATAAATTGCTTTAGGAGAATGCATTCTCACAAAAGCATTGGTGAATGCACAAACAAAGTAATTGTTTTATTTTAGACATTTCCTTCTTCCATGGTTTTTTCTTGTTCCCCATGCCGTCAGGGGTTTTCCCGGTCTCAGCTGGTCCTCCACCTAGTTCCCCGTCTACCTGGCTCTCTGCTCACCTTCCCCACCTCCCATTTTCTCCCCCCCCACCCCCGCTTTATGTGGGACAGCACCGCTAAGGGCAGCCCACGCCCAAACAGCTGTGCACACCAAAGTGGCCAACACACCCGAGGCCATACAGTCAGTGGCATCCACGGTCTTACCAAGCCTCAGTCCGTTTTAATTAAGCCACTTCTGTTTAGGTCTGTTAAATTAAACCTCTCCGTGAAGAAGTGGTGCCTGAGCCTGGGCACCATTCTGGCATCCAGAGTCCATGAGCTAAAGGAGACCCTTTGCAAAATAGTTCCAGGGCCCACAGGGGTGTGTTATCGCTTATATGTTCACTTGTCAAATCTCGTTTATCAATGTATTCCTTTGTAAAGCAAGGATAAGAAAACACACCTACTTCAAAAGTCCTGTTCAAGAAGAAGAAGAATATGTTCCTGCATTGCTCAGATTTCCACAGTACTTAACTTTTCACCAAGTGGAATACCCATTTCCTCCTAAAAGCTGAAAACCAGCCAACACTCCCTATTTACTAGATTCTGCTGTGCCTCGCTAAGCGCTGGAAATCTGTTTTTGTGTGACTGTCTCCCAGGGTAGTCCTGTGCACCCAGGGGCCGTTACCAACGTGAATGAATGTCTGCCTCAGTGAAAAATGCTGAACGGAGAGCTTTTCAAACGCTAGCGATGCAATTCTCTGGGCTGCAGCATTGCTGTTCATTATTTGTTCTTTGTTATACTCCTCTCCTTTTCCCAGCTTTTAGAGACAATTACCACTGATTGTATTTGTAATCGAAACAGAGCAGTAATTTTAATCTTATGGAACAAAATCACCAGCTGCCAAGCCGTTCAGCCCTAGGACTAAGTCCCGGCTGAAAAGGGAGCATATGGTGGCATCATGGAGAAAGAAAGAGATGATAAAACCAGGCCTTTCATCGAGGTGGCTGCCTAGTGGGCTGTAATTTAATATGCAGCATTACCTGCCCCTTTTCCCCTGTCTCTCACCATCCCCAGAGACAATGGAACAGATGTGCACTCTGTCATGTGGCCAATGAGAAAAGAAACATCTAAAACTTCCTTCTCCCCTCACCAGAGCCCTACCTGTCCTTCCCGGCCAAGCAGAGTCAGCTGCCCAGGAAACTTCCTGCACCTTCTAAGGCTGGCTTGGGGTCCTTCCCTCGCTCGTCCTCTCAGTACTCTGCCTGGTCCTGTCTCTGCTATTCACTGGTAGGTTTCTGGTGCTTAGCAAGGTGTTTTATGCATCGTGGGCATCTGAGACACGTATAAAATCGAAGCTGGATTTCTGGTTGGTTTTCAGCTTGTATTGGAGAGACCTATCAAAACCCTAAGCAATCAATAATTGACAAAAAACGTGTAAAAGCACTTTGAAAATTAGGACGTTCTTCCTATTAAGAGGCATGGCATTCTGATGGGGCTGCGGCTTCGATAGGGCTTCATGCCATCTCCTGCCCTTTTTCTCCAGCATTATTAGGCCACCGTTCATTTCATCCTCTTAAGAGCCACTCACTAAGGATGGGTGAGTTGGAAAACACACCCACTGAGTCACAATTGCCACTCACGCGTTCAGAACAGTGTATGCCACCATACCAGGTACTCAAATGCCAATTTGGCTGTGCTTATGGCCTCTGAGCTGTAATGAAATCAACATCGGAGAAGCTAGCACAGGACTCGGCACTTGGTGGGAAGGAGATGAGCCTCGTGAGATAACCCCTGAAGTGACTGCGGGCTGCGGGGTCAAGGGCTTGGGCTGGTGGGGTGTTAATATTACAAACTGTCTGCACCTGGGTGCTGTCTGTAAGTCTCGTAACAGCCTATGAGCTCAGGGGCGTGGGGGGTGCAGGGACAGTGATCTTTGTTTGCTGTATCCTCTGCACAGCAACTATTTGGTGAATAAATAAAAGCCCCGAGACAAACCCTAACACAGAGCAGGAGTTCATGAATAGGCTTCACGGCCATGATTCTTCCCTGGTGCTCACATGAAGAGGTGACTTATGGGGCGAGCTGGGGACTAGCTAGACCGGAGCTATGAAGCCAGTTCTCAGAGTGGGACAGTTTCCTGACACACGGTTGCCTGGCAGGTGTTCATGGACCATGCTGGTGTCCACTCCTTCCCTCTCTGTAATGGAGGAGCTGGCTGACCTGGGCATCTCCCGGGGCCTCTGCTGTTGGCAGGCTCCAACGCGAGATCATTAGCCTTTACCCCTCAGAAAAACGCTCTTGGACATCAAACATGCTCTGAGTCACACCTGCCTACCCTTACCAAGGTGGTACAATGCCATGTAGATTGGTTCTCCTCATCGGCTTCCAGGATGGAGGAGCTACCGAAAACACAGCTGGAGTAGAGGGCT